TGTCCAGGACTCCATGTCTGTGGTGATGTTACCCAGGGAACCATTACTGCCAGGGACTCCTAGTTCAGTGTTATGTAACCCAGGGAACCATCACTAGCCATGACTCCTAGGTCTGTGGGTTGGATGTTATACCAGGCAAACATTACTGGCCAGGAATTCCTAGGTTCTGTGGTGTATGTGTTATCACATTGCAACCAATACTGGCCAGGACTCCTATGGTCCTGTCGGTTATGTTATTACACCGGAACCATCACGTGGCCAGGACTCCTGAGTCTGTGGTGATGTTACCCAGGGAACCATCACAGGCACTGGCCAGTGACTCCTAGGTCTGTGTGATGTTACCCATGGAACCATGTACTGTGCCAATGCTCCTAGGTCAGTGGTGATTGTTACTCCAGGGCAGCCATCACTGGCCAGGACTCCTATTACCATGGTGATGTTAACCCAGTGTCACCAATCACTGGCAGGACTCCTAGGTCTGTGGTGATGTTACCCAGGGAACCATTACTGGCCAGGACTCCTAGGTCTGTGGAATGTTACCCAGGGCTAGCCATCACTGGCCAGACTCTAGGTCGTGGTGATGTTACCCAGGGAACCATCACTGGCCAGGAAAAATAAGGACACCTAGGTCTGTGTGATGTTAACCCGGGGGGGGGGTAGGTCAACCATCCACAGGCCAGGACTCCAAGGACCTGTGGTGAAGTACCCAGGTAACCATAACTGGCCAGGACTCCTATGTCTGAGTGATTTTACGCGCAGGGCACCAACACTGGCCAGGACATCCTAGGTCTGTGGTGAATGTTACCCATGAACCATTACTGGCCAGGACTCCAAGTTCTGTGGTGATGTAACCCAGGGAACCATTACTGGCCAGGACTCCTAGGTCTGTGGTGATGTTATCCAGGGCACCATTACATGGCCAGGACTCCTAGGTCTGTGGTGAAGTTTACCCAGAACCATTCCTGGCCAGGACTCCTATGTCTTTTTGTGTGATGTTACCCAGGAACCATTCCTGGCCAGGACTCCTAGGTGCTGTGGTGATTTTACCTCAGGGAACCATTACTGGCCAGGACTCCTAGGTCTGTGTTAATGTTATCCCAAGGAACCATATACCGGCCAGACATCCTCGGTCTTGGGTGATGTTATCCAGGGAACCATTACTAGCCAGGACTTCCCTAGTCTGTGGTGATTTTACCCGGGACCATTACTGTCCATGACTCCTAGTCTGTGGTGATGTATATCCAGGGAACATTACTGGACAGACTCCTAGGTCTGTGGTGATGTTATCCAGGCCCACACCATCACTGGCCAGGACTCCTAGGTCTGCTGTGGTGATTGTTACCCAGGGAACCAGTTCTGGCCAGGACTCCTAGGTCTGTTGTATTGTTATCCAGGGGGGAAAAAAACCATTACTAACCAGGACTCCTAGTCTGTTGTGATGTTACCCAGGTAACCATTACGGCCAGGACCTCCTAGTCTGTGTGTGATGTAATCCAGGTGAACCATTACTAGCCCGGACTCCTAGGTCTGTGGTTATGTAATCCCGGGAACCATACTGGCCAGGACTCCTAGTCGTGTGGGATGTTATCCCGAACCATTCTGGCCAGGACTCCTAGTCCTGTGGTGATGTTATCCAGGAACCATCACTGGCCAGGACATCTAGGACTTGGGATATGTTACCCAGGTGAACCATTACTGGCCAGGAACTCCTAGTCGTGGTGAAGTAATCCAGGCACCAATTACAGGCCATGACTTCCTAGGTCGTGGTGATGTTATCCAGGGAACCATTACTGGCCAGACTCCTATGTCAGTGGTGATGTAATCCAGGAAACCATTACTGGCCAGGACTCCTAGGGTGCTGTGGTGTTGTTACCAGGGAACATACCCTGGGCCATACTCCTAGGTCTGTGGTGATGTTACGCCAGGAACCATTACTGGCCAGGACACCTAGGTCAGTGGTGGATGTTACCAGGGAACCATTACGGCCAGACTCATAGGTTTCGGTGGTGATGTTACCCAGGTAACCATTACTGGCCAGGAACTCCTATGTCTGTGGGTGAGTGTTCCTACCCAGGGAACCAACATACTGCCAGGACTCCTCGGTCCTGTGTGAAGTTACCCAGGGAACCATCACTGTGCCAGGACTCCTAGGTCTGAGGGAAGGGGAAAAATGGCAACAGTCCTCCCTCAATACTGTCATCTGAAGTGTTGCACGAGACAGATGATTTACCTGTCACACCTTGTTTGTTGTAATAGAAAGAATATGGTTATTCCTGCCCAGAGTGGCAAACATTTAACAGCCATTAGAATCACGAACCGTGGTCCTGGCTTAAGCAGTCCAAAAGCAAGGATCATCGAGCTACAATCATCAACAGTGTTCAAACTGGCCTAGTGGTTAGCGCACAGGCCCGTGACTTTACGATTCACTTGCCATGGGTTCACAGCCTCCCTGTCATGATTTCTGTGCAGATCAGTCAAAACACCTTTGAGATTCCATGTCACACCAGTTTCATGTCTTTACGGAAGCCGGTAGCCTCAGTGGGTACAGCGATATGCCAACTTTCTCATTAACCTCACATCTAGTTATCATAAACTCCGTTATATATAGTTATTAATTTCTCCAAGGGATCTACTAGTTATCCATTATCGCCAGGTATAACGGAGATGAAAACCATCCAGTCCACATCCACGTTCTATCATTCTGGGTCCTGGCACAAGATAGACCCCGTTAAGTTACCCGGGCTCAAATATCTCCGATAGACCAGTCAGTAATACACTGTCTATATCTCCACTATGAATCCAAAGAAATCAGTCCTTATAAAAAGTGGCGTATACAGCAGTATTCCAGCCTTGAAGGAGGCAGTATACAGCAATATTCCAGCCTTGAAGGTGGCAGTATACAGCAATATTCCAGCCTTGAAGGAGGCAGTATACAGCAATATTCCAGCCTTGAAGGGGGCAGTATACAGCAATATTCCAGCCTTGAATGAGGCAGTATACAGCAATATTCCAGCCTTGAAGGGGGCAGTATACAGCAATATTCCAGCCTTGAAGGGGGCAGTGTACAGCAATATTCCAGCCTTGAAGGGGGCAGTATACAGCAATATTCCAGCCTTGAAGGGGGCAGTATACAGCAATATTCCAGCCTTGAAGGGGGCAGTATACAGCAATATTCCAGCCTTGAAGGGGGCAGTATACAGCAATATTCCAGCCTTGAAGGGGGCAGTATACAGCAATATTCCAGCCTTGAAGGGGGCAGTATACAGCAATATTCCAGCCTTGAAGGGGGCAGTATACAGCAATATTCCAGCCTTGAGAGAATCATCAAGGGCTTGGCGTCCCTAGTCCTGATTATTATTAAAATCAAGGTGGAAGCGCTAAACCCGGAGGATTATACAGCGCCTGGGGGGGGGGATGTGGAAGGCATTCAGGCTTAATTCGGGGAACTGGAGCACAGATCCAATTCCCTAAATCAAGAGCCCCTGACCAACATCAAGGAACCTTCCTTGAGGGGCCCTAGTTTGAAGGTTCTCAGTATCCATCCTGTCATTTTCCTGGCATCGCACAGTGACTGACAGTGACTGACAGTGACTGTGGCTGACTGTGACTGCCTGTGATTGACTGTGACTGTGATTGTGACTGTGATTGACTGTAACTGTGACTGCTTGTGACTGACGCCCTGTGACTGCCAGTGACTGTCTGTGACTGACTGTATAACTGTGTGGCTGACTAACCGTGTTGTTGACTGACTGAGGGAGTGACGGTGTGGCTGACTGACTGAGGGACTGACTGTGTGGCTGACTGACTGAGGAACTGTGTGGCTGACTGACTTAGGGACTGACGGTGTGGCTGACTGAGGGACTGACTGTATGGGTGACTGACTGAGGAACTGTGTGGCTGACTGACTTAGGGACTGACTGTGTGGCTGACTGACTGAGGGACTGACTGTGTGGCTGACTGACTGAGGGACTGACTGTGTGGCTGACTGAATGAGGGACTGACTGTGTGGATGACTGACTGAGGGACTGACTGTATGGCTGACTGACTGAGGGACTGTGTGACTGACTGGCTTAGGGACTGACTGTGTGGCTGACTGACTGAGGGACTGACTGTGTGGCTTACTGACTGAGGAACTGTGTGGCTGACTTAGGGACTGACTGTGTGGCTGACTGACTGAGGGACTGACTGTGTGGCTGACTGACTGAGGGACTGACTGTGTGACTGACTGAATGAGGGACTGACTGTGTGGCTAACTGACTGAGGGACTGACTGTGTGGCTGACTGACTGAGGGACTGTGTGACTGACTGGCTTAGGGACTGACTGTGTGGCTGACTGAATGAGGGACTGACTGTGTGGCTGAGGGACTGACTGTCTGGCTTGACTGACTGAGGGACTGACTGAGGGACTGACTGTGTGGCTGACTGAAGAGAAGGGAGAGAGCCTTCTGCTTTGTTATGCTTGTATCAAGAAGCTAAATAGTACCATATAGTTGTATGTAAATAGTCTGTCTATCTGTATGTCTGTCTGTCTGTCTGTCTGTCTGTCTGTCTGTCTCTCTCTCTCTCTCTCTCTCTCTCTCTCTCTCTCTCTCTCTCTCTCTCTCTCTCTCTCTCTCTCCCTCTCTCTCCCTCTCTGTCTCTGTCTCTCTCTCTCTCTCTCTCTCTCTCTCTCTCTACCCTTACTGACCGCCTGGGGGGATCACGTGACCCATAGCACAAACGGGAGAGTGTTGACAGTCTTACCAGGGTTTATAGCTAGTGCTGTCAGCCTTATACCTACCTCCTACCCTTGCCACCTCACCCCTCAAGTGCAAGTGAGTCAGGGGAGGCTGTCAGCTAGGTACCCCGGGTATGATATTGTTTGTAAATATGTGTTGTGGTGGGTAGGTTGGCATCTGGGTAGGGCCCTGTCTTCAAACTCACTTCCAAGGCTGTGGTAATGCCCACTCCTCCTCTCCTGCCTGATACCCGCACTCTGATAGCCAGTTGACGACCTCTGGCGACGGGTACAAGAGGCTGGGCACAAGGGAGTGTTTGTGTACAGTGTAATGTGTAGCTCAGAGCTGTGGTGCCCAAGATCATATACTCACACACACAGAATGCTGGGTACTGGGTATTTGTGTACAGTGTAGTGTGTAGTTCAGAGCTGTGGTGCCCAAGATCATATACCCACACACACAGAATGCTGGGTACTGGGTATTTGTGTACAGTGTAGTGTAGTTCAGAGCTGTGGTGCCCAAGATCATATACCCACACACACAGAATGCTGGGTACTGGGTATTTGTGTTCAGTGTAGTGTGTAGCTCAGAGCTGTGGTGCCCAAGATCATATACCCACACACACAGAATACTGGGTACTGGGTATTTGCGTAGTGTAGTGTGTAGTTCAGAGCTGTGGTGCCCAAGATAATATACCCACACAACCAGAATACTGGGTACTGGGTATTTGTGTACAGTGTAGTGTGTAGTTCAGAGCTGTGGTGCCCAAGATAATATACCCACACAACCAGAATACTGGGTACTGGGTATTTGTGTACAGTGTAGTGTGTAGTTCAGAGCTGTGGTGCCCAAGATAATATACCCACACAACCAGAATACTGGGTACTGGGTATTTGTGTACAGTGTAGTGTGTAGTTCAGAGCTGTGGTGCCCAAGATAATATACCCACACAACCAGAATACTGGGTACTGGGTATTTGTGTACAGTGTAGTGTGTAGTTCAGAGCTGTGGTGCCCAAGATAATATACCCACACAACCAGAATACTGGGTACTGGGTATTTGTGTACAGTGTAGTGTGTAGTTCAGAGCTGTGGTGCCCAAGATAATATACCCACACACCCAGAATATCCTATGTAATTTAAACCAGGTGCCTACTTACCCTAGTACCTACCTATTTTTCACCTACTTACACCTAATACCCCCTCTCACTACACCTACACTATACACTCAGCCAGTAACGTCGTCTGACGAACGATATCTACGTTAATAGACGTTGAAATAGACAGTGTGGTAGCAAGTGGTCTTGTGAGTGTGAGACTGACGGTACTGTCCAGTCTACAGCAGTTACTGGTAACACCTGTCATGGCCTCAACACCTGCTTAAAGCAGGTAAGTAATGTGTGGTTGTGTAATGTGTTAATGTGTGTGGGTACGTACGTGAGTACGTACGTACTCACCTATTTAATAATGTTTATTTCTAGCAGTACAAGATACAACTTATACAGACCATAGCTCACACCTATGACATAGAAAATCCCTGGTTATATAGAGCATTTCCCCCAATTTTTTCCCCAGGATGCAACCCACACCAGTCACCTAACACCCAGGTACCTACTTACTGCTAGGTGAACAGTGATAGCAGGTATCTTAAGGTAACACGTCCTACTGTTTCCACTCGTACCGGGGATCGAACCACGGACCTTAGTGCGAGGTGAGTGCGCTACCAACCCAGCTACGGGACACCAGGCATGGGTGGATTCACAGCTCCTGACCCCCCTGTATGTGTCTGTGTGATTGTACGATCGTTATATATATATATAATATATTATATATATATATATATATATATATATATATATATATATATAATATATATATATATTTACTTAGTCACTGTGTAAACACGAACCCTCCCCTCCCCTCCCCTCCCCTCCCCTCCCCTCCCCTCCCATCCCCTCCCCCTCCATCCATCCCCCCTTCATCCATCCCTTCACCCCCTCCACACGCACCCTTCCCCTTCCACTTCCTCTGGCAGAGAAACGTTCTCTACTGACACCATGAACCCGACATAACAAGCCATTGAGGCCATTACTGCTGCACTGTTAGTAAGACTGTGTGGTTGTTAGTAAGACTGTGTGGTTGTTAGTAAGACTGTGTGGTTGTTAGTAAGACTGTGTGGATGTTAGTAAGACTGTGTGGTTGTTAGTAAGACTGTGTGGTTGTTAGTAAGACTGTGTGGATGTTAGTAAGACTGTGTGGTTGTTAGTAAGACTGTGTGGTTGTTAGTAAGACTGTGTGGTTGTTAGTAAGACTGTGTGGTTGTTAGTAAGACTGTGTGGTTGTTAGTAAGACTGTGTGGTTGTTAGTAAGACTGTGTGGTTGTTAGTAAGACTGTGTGGTTGTTAGTAAGACTGTGTGGTTGTTAGTAAGACTGTGTGGTTGTTAGTAAGACTGTGTGGTTGTTAGTAAGACTGTTTGGTTGTTAGTAAGACTGTGTGGTTGTTAGTAAGATTTCCTTATTCGGAACATAAATTGTCTAAGCAGCAAGAACTAAGCTCTGGAAAGCGTCATATAGGCAGCTATCACCACCTGCCTGACCCATAGTCAGGTCATTCCAGTTCAACCCACCCAGGTAATTTCTCAGTGCTACTGTAATAAAGTTGGTAGAATTACCGACAATATGTAAAGTATAAGGACGATAAATTAGACACATGTGCAACTCTTGGGTATCTTTATTGAGGAAACGTTTCGCCACACAGTGGCTTCATCAGTCCATACATAGGAGAAACTTGAAGAACAGGAGGAGAATGAGGTAATCAGTCCCTCAACCTTGAGTCGATGTGGTCAGTCCATCGATCTTGAGTAGAATACGGCATATGAGCGGAGAAGCAGCTTATAAACCGTATGGCAGGAGAGGTGCAGCAGTCATAGGTGGTGTTACATATGTTCAATGTGGAACCATTCATCTACAAACCTGTCAGACACTGCAACTTCTTGGGATCTTAATACTTAGGAATTCTTCGCTTGCCTAATTCTTGGGCACGACCTACTTCCACATTGAACAAATGTGACACGACCTATGACTGCTACACCTCTCCTGCCATACGGTTTATAAGTTGCTTCTCCGCTCATATGCCGTATTCTACTCAAGATTGATGGACTGACCACATCGACTCAAGGTTGAGGGACTGATTACCTCATTCTCCTCCTGTTCTTCAAGTTTCTCCTATGTATGGACTGATGAAGCCACTGTGTGGCGAAACGTTTCCTCAATAAAGATACCCAAGAGTTGCACATGTGTCTAATTTATCAACATGTCGGTTCTCTGAACCATTCATCTACAAAGTATAAGGACACAAGTGCAACTAATGTGGCATTTTATTGTGGCAACGTTTCGCTCTCCAGGAGCTTTATCAAGCCGTTACAAACAGTACATGGACACAGAGGGTATATATAGGCTCAGAGTGAGGTGTAATACGAGTGGTAGTAGTAGTAGTGGCATAATTTTGGAGACTGGATAGAGAAGGTCTGTTTCAGTGTTCACTCTCTGTAATGTACTTGTGTAGTATTAACAGGAGAGACTATGTGATGGCAGGGTTTACTGTATTCAGGAGGATTCTTGCTAAGACTTCAGATATGGTGAAACTGCCGTTGTTTTGTTTAATTAGAAACAGCTATTAGTGAAGATTCGAGGAACTTGCGTCTACGGAAATTAGTTTCTTTGATCACTAATTGGGCGTCTCTGAATTTCATGAGATGATTGGTGGAATTTCGGTGTTGTACACAGGCGTTGTTCAAGTTATTGTTCCTACATGCGTAAATGTGTTCATTGAGGCGGGTGTCGAGGTTTCTGGCTGTTTCACCTACGTAAATCTTGTCACAGCCTCCACAGGGTATAGTGTAAACTACGTAGATCTTGTCACAGCCTCCACAGGGTATAGTGTAAACTCCTGCATTGACTGGTTCGTGATGCTTGGATTTTGTTCTGGTTAGATCCTTTATCGAAGTGCTGGAAGCGATGGCGACTCTGGTGTTAGCTTGTGAAAGTACTTCAGAAACGTTCAGTACAACCAGGCTGTTGGGAAGACTTATAACTTTGTTGGGAGTGGTGTTGGTGCGTGGAGAATTAATGATCTGAAGAGCTCTTGCAATCTTTGATGACAAAGGAAGGAAAATATAAATAAATGAAGGTTTGGAGAATGCATATACATTCCTCGTCAAGAAACTCAGGACCAAAAATTCGGTATTATGCTCTCAGAAAAAATCCGAGGATGCCTCTTTTGGTCTTGGTTTCTCGAAACCAGCCAAGCGGAAGTCAGGGACAGAGTCTTGGTTGCCATTATTAGGGGAATTCTATGATATATTTAAACTAAGTGATTTGTGATCACTCGTCAAGTTCATCATTAACCTTAAGATTATTAATTAGTGATTCCTTGTTGGCAAGAACCAAGTCGAGCAGATTATTTCCTCTAGTTGGTTCTGTCACAACCGGTTTTAAAACAATACTGAATCGTATCATTAGACCCTGGGGTATACCACACCCAGGGGTACACCACACCCTGGGGTATACCACACCCTGGGGTATACCACACCCTGGGGTATACCACACCCTGGGGTATACCACACCCTGGGGTATACCACACCCTGGGGTATACCACACCCTGGGGTATACCACACCCTGGGGTACACCACACCCTGGGGTATACCACACCCTGGGGTATACCACACCCTGGGGTATACCACACCCTGGGGTATACCACACCCTGGGGTACACCACACCCTGGGGTATACCAGACCCTGGGGTACACCACACCCTGGGGTATACCAGACCCTGGGGTATACCACAGCCTGGGGTATACCAGACCCTGGGGTATACCAGACCCTGGGGTATACCACAGCCTGGGGTATACCAGACCCTGGGGTATACCAGACCCTGGGGTATACCACAGCCTGGGGTATACCACACCCTGGGGTATACCACAGCCGGGGGGTATACCAACCCTGGGTAAAACCACAGCCGGGAATCCCAACCCGGGGGGTTATCCCCAACCCGGGGTAAACCAAGCCTGGGTAAACCAAAAACCCTGGGGTATACCACACCCCTGGGGTATACCAACCCTGGGGAAATCCCCACAGCCGGGGGTATACCAACCCCTGGGGTATCCCAAACAAGCCCTGGGGTAACCAGGGGGAAAACACCCTGGGGAAAACCACAGCCGGGGGTTATAAACCCAAACCACCCGGGGGTTAAAACCCCCCCCCTTTGGGTATACCACCCCTTTGGGGTATACCAAAACCCTGGGGAAATACCACACCCGGGGAAATACCAACCCTGGGGTAAACCAAAACCCGGGGGTTATCCCCACAGCCGGGGGGTAAACCCAAACACCCGGGGGAAATCCCACGGGCCGGGGGATACCACACCCTGGGGAAAAACCCACCCTGGGGAAATACCACCCCCGGGGGGAAATACCCCACCCTGGGGTATACCACACCCGGGGGGATCCCAAACACCCGGGGGATCCCCAAGCCTGGGGTAATCCCACACCCGGGGGGTAAAAAACCACGGGCCCGGGGGAATACCAAAACCCTTTGGGGTAAACCACACCCTTTGGGGAAAACCCCACACCCGGGGTATACCCCCCCCCGGGGGTTTATACCAAAACCCTGGGGTATACCACCCCCCGGGGGAAATACCAAAAGCCTGGGGAAATACCCAACCCGGGGGTATACCACACCTGGGGAAATCCCAAACCCCAAACCAACCCTGGGGAAATACCACAGCCGGGGTATACCACCCCCCCGGGGTTTATCCCACAGCCGGGGGGTATCCCACACCCGGGGGGTATCCCAACAGCCAGGGGTTACCAAAACCCCTGGGTATACCCATTAACCCCCGGGGGGAAATCCCCACACCCTGGGGTATACCCAAAACCGGGGGTATACCACACCCTGGGGTATACCACAAAAACCCCCCGGGGGTTAACCACGCCTGGGGTATACCCCCACCCGGGGTATCCCAAAAACCCGGGGGTATACCACACCGGGGGGTAAAACCACACCAGGGGTTTATACCACACCGGGGAATACCCCCCCCCAACCCCGGGGGTATACCACGGGACCCTGGGGTATACCACGCCGGGGGTATACCAAAACCCGGGGGTATACCAAAAGGGGGGCCCTTGGGGCCAAGGGGTAAAACCACAAAACCCTGGGGAAATCCCCCCCCCCCCGGGGGGTTATACCACCCCCTTTGGGGTAAAACCAACCCTGGGGTAACCAAAAGCCGGGGGAAATACCCCCCCCCCCTGGGGTATCCCACAGCCTGGGGTAAAATACCACCCTGGGGGTAAAACCAAAACCCCCTGGGGAAACCCCAAAACCCTGGG